TCGGATTCCCACGCAATGGAGTTCCGATTGGATTACAGCGCCCACGGTTCCCACGTGGATGCTTGAACGATGGGGGTTCCCAGTCGGATTCTCGCGCGCCGAGTTTCCAGTGGGGCTTCTATGCCGCGGGTCTCCGATCAAATCCTACATGATGGATTCCAAATGTACTCTTATACGCGGAGCTTTCAATAGGAGTCCGACTCGTTGGATTTCCAATCGTAATCATTGACGCTGGGTCTCCAATCGGATTCGCATCGAGCCGGTGTCAATTCGGACTCGGAGTCCCGCGCATTGCGCCCCCAACTGGATTTCTTGGCCAAAAGGGCTTGCGACGGGAATCCTACGCGATGGGTTTCCAACGGGGCTCCTACGCGTCGGATCTCCGTTAGGATTGCCACGCAAGGAATGCCGCAACGGGCCTCGCGAATTGAGCTTCCGGCGGGGCCCCGACGCAATGGCCCCTCCGTCTGATTTCTGCACGAGAGAGTTTCCAACGCGGTTCCTGCGCGATGGAATTATTGGGGCCTTCGGCGGAGCTCTTCGGGGGCCGCGCAACGCGTGGGGGGCGGGGCGACAGCGGCGCAGTGGCGGCGCGCGGGCGCGGCCGCTGGGGCCCGCGGCGGAGCCATATTGGGATATGCAAAACTTGTGGGAGGGCGAGAAAACCATAAGCAATGATTGTCCTTTTTTCCCCGCATCCTGAGCGGGGCTCTTGTTTTCCAAGGGCACCCTCTCCTTATCCTTTTCCTTCTCCTTCTCCCGCTTCCTGTTCCATATGCCGTCGCAAAATCATACCATGCCGTACCATGCCACACAATGCCATAATATATCACGCAGCGCCATATCGTACGATTTCGCACGATTTCGCACCCCTTCCCACCCTGCAGGTAGGCCCCGCCTGAGCGAGGAGGGCACTCGCGCACCATATGATTTATCCTTTTCGCGCCCCTCCATCGCCCCCCCCCCCACGCCCCTCCAGGGAGTCGTCTCTTGGGTGAAACACGACTTCGTCGTCGCCAAATTTTCCCGAATTCTCCTCCTCCTCTTCCTCCTCTTCCTCCTCCGCCCCCTTCCTCGTTCCCCTTTTTCCCCTCCTCCCCGTCCTCCTCCTCCTCCTCCTCCTCCTCCTCCTCCTCCTTCTCCTCCTTTTCCTCCTCCTCCTCTTTCTCCTCCTCCTCCTCCTCCTCCTCCCTTTCCTCCTCCTTTTCTCCCTCCCCCCCCCTCTCCTCTCCCTTTACAATTAGTCAATCTGAATACTATTCTCCTCCTTCCCCTGATGACGGGTTGGGAGTGTTCGCCCTTCCCCGCGTATTGTTGTTTTACACGCAGGATTCCCCGGAATCGGGTTTTCGCTTGCATTTTCTTTCAAAATGCTGCTCTCGCTGAGGCGCCGGCCTCATTTTCGGGCCCCGTTCGTTCCGAATCGTGCTCCCGCTGCAGCGCTGGCCTCATTTCCGTGCTTCCGCTCGTTCCGAATCGTGCTCCCGCTGCAGCGCTGGCCTCATTTCCGCGCTTCCGCTCGTTCCGACTCGCGTTCTCGCTGCAGCGCTGGCGTCATTTCCCGTACCATGCCATGGCATGCAATGCAATGCTAGGTTGATACGACGCTTTGCGGTGCTCTTCTGCGCCATGCCACGCCGTGCTCTACAATGCATCGCGTACCCTTTCGGGATCATTGCCCTGCTCGACATCCGATTGTGCGAGTAGAGAGGGGATCTACGCCATGGTAAGGGATGGGAGGGAAGGGTAGGACGTCAGATATGACGCGAGCGCACCTGGCTTGTCCTTCCCCTCCTCACCCTCCTCCCTGTTCCCCTCCTCCTCCTCCTCCTCCTCCTCCTCCTCCTCCTTCTCCTCCTCGTCCTCCGCCTCACCCTCCCTCTCCTCCTCCTCCTCCTCTTCCTCCGCCTCCTCCTCCTCCTCCCCATCCTCTTCCCCCTCCTCCACCTCCTCCTCCTTGTCCTTCGCCTGTTCGCCGCAAACAATCGCTTCCATTGCAAGTTGAGGGTTGTTACGTTTCCCTGAACATTTTGTTTGTAAGGTTTAACATATTGGTCGGGTGCCGACTGTCTCCCGTTTTCCCGTTGGCTCCCGTTATTCGGTGGTCTCTTGTTATTTTTCGTTGCCCCCCGTTGTTTTCATGATCGCTATAGGTGTTTCCGTCGATGCCCCTTTCTCTGCGACGCCGTACAGTTGTTCAGGGTCTTCTGCTGTAAGGGTGTAACAACATGTGTGCTCTTCGCTCGAGACTTCGTGAAGGCGAATGAGCCAGACTTCCAGCACATCATGTAGGACTGCACTGATCCTCGGCGGCTCTTTTTCCAACACGGAGTACTATTCGCTCGAGACTACTCGAAGTTCATGACCACAAATGTGTGCAAGTCTGCGCAAAAGCTACACGGAGGGGGGCGGTCCTTTTTCGAAAGGGTATATTGCTAGATGTTTCGTTGAGCTCTATGATCATAGTTTTCGTGCTTTTGAATACGCGCGAGGAAGCTGCAAGACAGTTCCTTTTCAAAGTGGGGCCTGCCACTGCGCTGGTCTTTCAAGGAGGGCGCTTCGTGTACTGTTGTAGCAGGAAAGGACAGCTTGTATGGGGCGTACGAGGAGGGGACTTGAGACAGGAGGGTGTACTGTAGCATCGCTGACGCATCTTGGCTTTCACTGTTGTCCTCATCCTCGTCCTCTCCTTCCATCTCCTCTGATCCTCCGTCCCGCACCTCTTGGTTCCTGCTGCCTCTACCCTTTTGCCGATACGGAGGTCGTCCTCGCTGCTCCACCAGTCGTGTCGATAGGGCCGGCCAGGAGCTTCGCTCCAGCCGTGCTCGCAGTGTGCTCATGAAGCTGAATCGTGACGCGCCGGTCAACTGAGCGGACAGAGGGCGTGCCGTTCTCGAATGGTGGGTTTCGTTATTTTTTTCCGCGGGCCTGGGTCGAGGAGGGGGAACGGGGGAGGAGAAGGAGGAGGAGGAGGATGAGGAGGATGAGGAGGGGGAGGAGGCGGAGGAGGAGCAGGAGGAGGATGAGGTCTTTAGTGTTTCTAGCCGTTTCCAAAAGCCATACGGGAGGAGCAAGGGTTTATTCTCACATGTGGCTTGCCTGCGACCCTCACGGTGCCGACCAAGGCGGGCGCGGTGCTATGTTGAGATTGGTATGCGCGGGCGTCCGTTGCGTTCCATTTGTTCTTCCTCCTCCTCCTCCTCCTCCCACTTCCCTCCTTCCCGTCGCCGTCGAGGATCTAACCAACATGGTGTTCAAGCTGGTGGTCGAGTCTCAGCCGCAGAGGCAACAGATGGCCAGAGCCGTCGACGCCCTGGCGGAGCGCATCAGAGCCATGGAGACCAACTTCCAGGAGCTCAAGGCCGAGTTGGACAAGAAGACGGGCCATAATTTGGGGGAGGAGTTCGAGAGCATCAAGAGGGAGCTTTTCTCACTCTCGAAGTTCACGTCAAAGGAGACGGAGGACAAGCGCAAGAGGCTAGATGTCCTTCACACAGACATCGCGACCGTCCACAAGACCGCGCAGTCCTCCCTCCTGCCTTCTGCTCGTCGTCGTCGTCTTCGTCCCTTTCCTCACCCCTGATCCTCCACACCCTCTTCACCCTGCTTCTCCTCCTCCTCCTCCTCCTCCTCCTCCTCCTCCTCTGCCTCTCCCTCCTCTTCCTAATTATTTCTCATCCCCTCGCCCTTCCTCCTCTTCTGTCCTTCTTCTGTTTTTTTACCCTCCCCTATTTTTGCTCCTCCTGTCCCTCCCCTCCGCCCCCATCTCCCTCCCCCCGCGTCTTCGTCCTGCGCCTCTCCGCCGTCCCCCTCCCTCCCCGGTCCAGCGAGACTCTCGACAAGCACCTCGACAAGCTCACGGACTCGAACTCCAAGGCCGGGCGACGAGGGGGCCGAGCTCTCTCCTCGTCGCTGCCTGCTGTCCCCCCCTGGGGGGAGGTGGGAGAGCGGAGCGGGACGGGCAAGGAGCACTCGCGCCCCGTCCGGTGTCCTACGTATTCCGCCCATCCCCCCCTTCCCATGGCGCCGAATCCTGCTCTGCTCGCGTCTAAGCTCGGCGGCGGGCGAGGGGGGGGGGAGTGCGACGGAGAGGGCATTCTTAGAAGGCGGCGGGACTTCTCAGAAGCCCTCGCGCCTTCCGAGAAGTTTCCTGTGTCTTCGGGAAGGCTCAGAAGACTTCTCAGAAGGCCAGGGGACTTCCGAGCCTTCTGAGAAGGCCTTCTCCTTCTCACTTCCCAGGGGGTCGCCGTCAAACTCCGCCCATCCGTCCCTTCCCATGGCGCCGAATCCTGCTCTGCTCGCGCCGAAATGCTCGCGACGCGTCTTGGAAACAGGCTCTCTGCAAGGCTCCCCGAGATCCCTGAGCTGGGCCTGGCTGAAGAAGCCACAAGTGCTGCACAACCAATGGCCGCCATGCGAGCCCTGCCTCTGGAGCCTTCGGTGGAACTTCCTGTGGGGCCACGAACCGTTTGAGGGGTGCGCCAAAATGCGGGGCCGCCATGCGGACCCTGCCACTGGGGCCTTCGGTGGAGCTCCCTATGGGGCCACGAACCGTGTGAGGAGTGCGCCGAAACGGCGCGGGGCCGCCAAGCGAACCCTGCCACCGGGGCCTTCGGTGGAGCTCCCCAAGGGGTCACGAAACGCTGTACTGGGTGGGTGAAACGCAGGGAGGAAGGAGGAGGGGGAGGAGGGAAGAGGGGGAGGAGGATGGAGGAAGGAGGAGAACACAGGGACCGTCTCTTCAAAACGACGACCCAACACCACAGGATAGTTGGGAAATAGTCTGGGGACGATTTTGTTTGACTGTTTTGTCCATTTTGGGTTTTTTTTATGTGACTATTTTTCATTTTTCGTCCAAAATCCGCCTGTAGGGGGACATGCCCGACCTAACAGTCTAGGGCTGCGGGGGGGGGGGGCATCCCGGGAGGTGGCGAGCGCCGCCTGCGGTCGGCGGCGCCGTGCGCCCGGCCCCCCAGGCCCGGCGCCGCGAGCCGTCGCAGCGGCCGCCCTCGGGGTCGCGCCGAGGCTGCGGCTCCGCTGCGGTGGCTCTGCCGAGGCCTCCTCGGGTGCTCCTTTGGACGTCTCGCGGGGGGCCCCGCGGGGGCTTTCCTGCAGCCGCCGCCTCGTCGAGGGCGCCAACATCGCAGAGCGGATTGGGCCCGGGGTGTCCTGGAGAGTTTCGCTCCGGCTTTCGAGGCGTATTTCGTGCGTTTTGTGGGCCAGGAAGGGAGACCAAACAGAACCCACGCGAAACTCGCTTCGCTTTCCGCTCGCCGCTTCGGGCAGGAATCAGCGCAGAACTCTACGCAGAAATCTGCTGCAGCACGTCTGCAAGGCTGGTGCAATGAGCCTCGTCGAGGGCGTTCCGGGGATGCTAGATTCTCGGCCCGAATCGGGTGTATTCAATTCTAGACGCTTCGCGTATCCCCACCAGCCCGTCCAGAAACGACGCCCAGGCGAGTAGAGGGTCGTCCTGAGGGGCTTTTCGGCGTCTTGGGTGCCTCGGGGGGGCCTCTGTGGGCCGTTCGGGATCCTCTTTGGGGCCTCCTGGGGGCCCCTTGGGGCCTCTTGGGGCCATCTTGGGGCCTTTGGGGGCCTCCTGGGGGCCTCTTGGGGGGCCTCTTGGGGCCATCTTGGGGCCATCCTGCGGCCTCTTGGGGCATCCTGGGGGGTTCTTGCGGCCATCGTGGAGGAAATCGATCAAAGAAGAGGGGAGCTTTACTTAGCCCTGCCCCCTCAGAAGGCCAAAATGGGGCCAAAACCATAGTAAAATCAATGATTCTGCGGCCAAGGAAGTGGGGCTCCCTAATTACAGCCCCCCCCCAGGAGCTCCAAAAATCTGTTCCTGGACCCCTCTTGGATCGCTCTTGGAGCGCTCGTGGCCGCTCTTGGAGCCATCCTGAGGCTCTCTTGGGCCCCTCTTGGAGCTATCTTGAGCCATCTTGGAGCCATCTTGACGCGTCGGATGTGCATCGCAAGCGGAAAAGTGAGAACACCAAAAACATTGATTTTCCCTAGGGTTTTGAAGCATGTTGGCCTCTTGGATGCATCCTAATGATGCTCTTGTGGGCACTTGGAGCCGTCTTGGGGAGTTCTTGGAGCGTCTTGGAACATCATGGGGACCATCTTGAGGCATCTTGCGATATCTTGAGCCATCTTGGAGGGTATCTTGGCTCCCTGAGGCCCTCTTGGAGCCGTCTTGGGCCATCTTGGGCGCTCCAACGCGCCGCGGAACCCCCTGTCCAGGTCAGTGGGGAGGGGGTAGGGGGAGGGGTAAACCCCTCCCCGAAGGGGAAGAAGGAGGGGTGGAAGAGGAAACTCGTTAAACCACCGACGCCCAGAGGGCTGGTGGGATTATCGGATTGTTAGAGTGTCCAGTGTCATGGCATCCACAAAGATCAGGCGAGGCCTCGCACGCCATTTTGGCCGCGGGCCAGGGCGGTTGCCTCTCAAAGGGGGGCGCTGCGAGGGCGTGGGGGCGCCAAGGTATGATCGTGCGCCGAGCATCGCAGGGGCGCGGTGTGCGGAGGTAGGTGAGAGTCAGTGTCGTTAAACCGATCCTCATCCCTCCTCCTCCTCCTTCTATTCCTCCTCCTCATCCTCCTCCTTCTTGTCCTATTCCTCCTCCTCCTCCTCCTCCTCCTCCTCGTCTGCCTCCTCCTCCTCCTCCTCCTCCTCCGCGTCCTCCTCCCTGTCCTCCTCCCCTTCTACATCGGGCCTACATAGGGTCATCCCAATCCTCATCCCGATCCCTACCATCCCCACCACCCTCGTCGGAGATGTGCCCCTCGAAGCCCGAAGGGCGCCGCCTGCCTCCACCCCCCTCGGGGGGCACATCGGCCAGGGGGGGCCAGGCCACGCCGGTGGGGACTGGGATCGGTCCAGCGAGGCTCGTGGAGAGGGGCAGGAGCGTGGCGGGCGCCGAGGCGACAGCACCGACCCGAGCGGCCGAGGGCGTTCCGAGTGGGGAGCCCCGTGTGCCCCGGGGGAGGCCGCGGAGGGGATGCGGCGGGTCCGCACAGTCCCGCGCGGTCAGGAGGCACCGGGGGAGCAATGCCCACAGTGGTCGCGGAGGGTGCTGCCAGAAGTGCCCCTGGCCCAGGGTACCCCCCAGGATTTTCGGGGTGGCCCAGGCAGCCTCCAGGGCACCCCTCGTAGGGCCCAGAGGGCCCCAGGGGCTCCAAAATGGAGCGTGAAGCTGGGGGGCACCTTGGGCCAGGGGCACTTCTAGCAACGCCCGAGTTGTGGGGGGGAGGGGAGCGGAAGTGGGAGGGGCGGGGCAGTGATAGAGGCTGGGAGGAGAGAGGCACGGGGGGGGAGGAGGATGTAGGTGGGGGAGCGGGGAGCGGGAGTTGGGCAGGAGGGGCGAGATCGGGGGAGGTGCTCACCCAGCTCACCAGCGAGCACCAGAGCATGTTCGGGGTCTCCCTCATGGGCATTGTCTTTATACTGATCGGGGGGCTCTCCCTCTACAACAAATTCCGATGCTGGGAGAAGAAGCACATCCTGTAGCAGCCGTGTCCACCTCCCCCCTTCTTCGGCGGTTGCCAGAGGTGCCCCTGGCCCAGGGCGGCCCCAGGACTTGCACGGACGCCCCATCGGCCTCGAGGGCACCCAGGAGGGGCCCTCGGGGCCTGATGAGGGGGTGCCCAACGTGGCCGTTTGGCGCCTCCGTGGCAGTTTGTGGACAACTGGGGCCCAGGGTTCGAACAAGAGCAAACTTCATAATCTTGTGGAGGACGATACATGGAGAGGAAACATGTTGCCAAATCATTTCCAGATGTCTTAAACATGTGTTAAACATGTTTAAACATGTAACAACACATGTTTAAAGCATGATCATGACATTTTCCGACATTTGTTATACGCATTTTTAATTCAAGGATAGGATTGTTAGGGTGTCCATTGTCGTGGCATCCGCAATCATAAACAGACATTTTCGGAGGTCCGCGCGGGTTTCCCGGATCGGCGCTGGACACCCCTTCCCTGGCGGGTGGAGCGCGCTGGGGGCGGCGTCAGAGGCGCTGGCTGGGGGCGTCCAGCGCCGATCTGGAGAATCCGTGTGGACCTCCAAAAGTTTGTGCTCACGCAGTTTTCGTTCCCCCCATCCATGGCTCTGGACGGCGATCAATGGAGAGGAAACGTGTTGCCAAATGACTTCCAGATGTCTAAGCATGTTTATAAAACAATGTCTCGCACCTGGAAAAGCATGTTTTGAGCATTTCCAGAGCATACTTCAAACACTTTGAACACATGTTCAATTCGATGGTAGAACTGTTGGGGTGTCCGTTGTCATGGCATCCGCAAATCCATGGACATCCTGGGGACGGCTCAGGCCGGATCTCGGAGAAGGGCCAGCGGAGACAACGTTGGCTCTCCCGCCTGGCCCATTTCCGCTCCCGGCCGCGGCCCCAGCCCTGGCCCCGGCCCCGTCGCCTCCCAGTCGCCCGCCCCCGAGGAGACGCACGGCTCTCCTCCCCTCCTCCTCCTCCTCCTCCTCCTCCTCCTCCTCCTCCTGCTCCTCCTCCTCCTCCTCCTCCTCCTCCTCCTCCTTCTCCTCCTCCTCCTCCTCCTCCTCCTCCTCCCCCTCCTCCTCTTCCCTGGACACCGACCCGTTTCTCGAGGCGGATCCAGCCGCGGCGGCGAGGGGCCCGAGAAGGACGAGGAACTTCAGGTAGTGACGAGGCTGCCTCGACTTATGATGCTTCCATCGTACTTAGGGCCACATCCCAGCAATAATGTTAAGTCGGGCACGTCCATCTATGGGAGAAATATGTAAAAATAGGCAAACAATAGTCAGGAGACGATTTTTCCCCAAACAGCTTGCTGAACGGGATGCTGTTGTGATAGAAGCTAACTCCGGCCGAGGGAAGTCGGAGCAGAGACATCCTCACTAAAATTTGCTGGTCCGGGCCGTTTCGCTTGAGACATCCTCACAATTCTCGTTTCTGAGTTGGCCGGGACTGGCCGTTTCGCCTGAGACATCCTCGAAAAGTTGCGCTCCGGGACGCCGCGCGAGAGGTGGTCCGGGCCGTTTCGCTTGAGACATCCTCGAAACTCTGAGCCCCGAGGTGCCGTGCGAGAGGTGGTCCGGGCCGTTTCGCCTGAGACATCCTCGAAACTCTGAGCTCTGCGATGCCTGCGCGAGGTGGTCGGCCCTCCTTGCTTGAGACATCTCGTAAAACTTTACCCTTTTTCTTGTTTTATCCTTGTTTCTAGTCACTTTTTTCCTATTTTCCTTGTCTGACCTATCTTTTTCTTTTTTCGGATTCGGAGAGATGCCGCGCGAGAGGTGGCCCTTTTCTTGGTATATGATCTTATCTTTTGCGCGAGGTGGTCGGCCCCGTTTCTCGCCTGAGACATCCTCGCATCTCTGAGCTCTGAGATGCCCTGCGCGAGGTGGTCCAGCCTGTTTCGCACAAGACATTCTTGCAACGCTGAGCTACCAGATGCCGCGCAAGAGGTGGTCCAGCCTGGGGGCCCAGAAGACCACATGTTACATATCCTCCCTGGGACCCTGGGAGCCCGCCTGAGACATCCTCGGAACTTCTGAGCTCTGAGATGCCCTGCGCGAGGTGGTCCGGCCCGTCTCGCCTGAGACATCCTCGCAACTCTGAGCTCTGAGATGCCGTGCGCAAGGTGGTCCGGCTTGTTTCGCACAAGACATTCTCGCAGCTCTGAGCTCCCAGATGCCGCGCAAGAGGTGGTCCAGCCTGGGGGCCCAGAAGACCACATGTTACATATTCTCCCTGGGACCCTGGGAGCCCCAGCAGGCCCCAGAGAGCTCCAGGAGGCCGCAGGACGCCCAGGACAGGCCCCAGGGGTCCCCAGGAGATTCCCAGGAGGCTCCCAGGAGGCCCCAGGAGGCCCCAGGAGGCCCCCTATCAGAACGTGTCAAGTTAATACAAATCCGGTGTCGATTCGTTGATTTTTCCTGCTCTTGCGCCGCCCCTCCATTTTGAATGGCCCAAACGGCCACATGTTAGATATCCCCCATGGGAGCCCCAAGAGGCTTCAGGAACCCCCAGGTGGAGTTCAGGAGGCCACAGGAGGCCCAGGAGGAAGCCCCAGGAGGTCACCAGGAGACCCCAGGAGGCCCCCGCAACTCGGAGCTCTGAGACGCCGCGCTCGAGGTGGTCCGGCCAGTTTCGCCTGAGACTTCCTCGCAGCACGTTTCGCCCGAGACACCGGCCCGTCTCGCCTGAGGCATCCTTGCAACTCTGAGCTCTGAGATGCCGTGCGCAAGTTGGTCTGGCCCGTTTCGCACAAGACATTCTCGCAACTCTGAGCTCCCAGATGCCGCGCAAGAGGTGGTCCAGCCTGGGGGAAGACCACATGTTACACATCCCCCCTGGGACCCTGGAAGCCCCAGGATGCCCCAGAGAGCTCCAGGAGGCCGCAGGACGCCCAGGACAGGCCCCAGGGGTCCGCAGGAGATTCCCAGGAGGCTCCCAGGAGGCCCCAGGAGGCCCCCTATCAGAACGTGTCAAGTTAATGCACATCCGGTGTCGATTCGTTGATTTTTCCTGCTCTTGTGCCCCCCGCCCCATTTGGGGGAAAGAGCGCCAGTGGATCACCTTGAAGACACAAAAGGGGGGGGGTGCTCCAGGGACCCCCCCCCCCCCTCCCTTAAGGGGGGGGGGGGGTCCTTCCTCGTACTGGAGAACCCCCCCCCCCCCCCTCCCCCCCTTTAAGGGGGGGGGGGTTCGAACCCCTTCCCCCCCCCATTTGAAAGGGGGGGGTGGTGCGGAACCCTCCCCCCCCCCCCCCCTTGAAGGGGGGGGGGGGGGTTTCGGACCCCCCCCCCCCCTCCCCCCCTTTCCGCAGGGGTCCGGTGCGAGCGAGCCGAGCGCGTGGACACCCGCAAAGCTTTCAGAGTCCTGCCCCCGACGGCCCCTACGTCCAACAGTCTGCGCGCGAGGCGAGCGAGGTTTAGGGTTTAGGGTTAGGGTTAGGGGTTAGGGCTTAGGGTTTAGGGTTTAGGGTTTAGGGTTTAGGGTTTAGGGTTTAGGGTTTAGGGTTTAGGGTTTAGGGTTAGGGTTTAGGGTTTAGGGTGTCCTCTGTCAGCGCTTGCTGATCATCATTCGTGTAAGACCACCCCCACCCATAAAATGGAGTGGGGGTGGGGTAGTCGTGTTGTGGTGACATCATGTTGAGCGGAATCATGTTTCGGCTATGGGGCCAGCTCCCCTTTTCACATTCCCACCCCGCGCCCGTTAGGGCGGCGAACCACCCACGGCTTTCTCTATTAGGGTTTAGGGTTCATTCGGTAGTCGAGGTTCTCTTTCTCTTAGGGCTCCACGATTCCAATCGGTTAGGCGATCTTTCTCATATGTACGACAAAGAATGCTTTGTGTATCGCACGTACACAGAAACCCTCTTGAGTCTTAAGATATGCGCAATCCTGGGGTTAGGGTTGACGCTTTACGTCGGGGGAAAGGGTTTGGGGTGAAACGCCGCGCGGGCGTTTGATTGTGCGCTTGTGGCGCCGGCTCCGCTCGCTTCGCTCGCTCCGCCGATACCGCTCCTCTTGAACTAAGAAATCCAGCTGGCGCACCCAGGAGCCCCCTGGGCGCTGGGCAGCAGCTGATTCACCGAGAAATGCGGCTGGGGTGCCTTGGAAGGCCTTGGGAAGGCCCCGGAGGGCCCTCAGGGGGGGCTCCTGGGGTTCCTGAAAGGTTCCTGGGGGCTCCTGGCGGGCTCCTGGGTGGCTCCTGGGCCATCGGCATTTCACCGTGAGGTTGGTCTGGGGTGCCCTGGTGCCCTGTGAGCCCCCCAGCAGAGAGGCCCGAGTCGCTAGGAGACGTTTTTCCGGCCCTAGGGGAGCCCTGGGCCCCTGGGCGATCGGCAATTCACCGTGGCGTTGGTCTGGGGTGCCCTGGGAGCCCCCCAGGGGGCCCCGAGTCGCCAGGAGAGCCCTGGGCTCCTGGGCGGGGGCTAATTGGTCTGGCGTGCCCTGGGAGCCCCCCAGGGAGGCCCGAGTCGCCTGGAGAGTTCTTCCCGTTCCTAGGGTGGCCCTGGGCTCCTGGGCGGGAGCTAATTCACCGTGGCGTTGGTCCGGGGTGTCCTGGGAGCCCCCCAGGGAGGCCCGAGTCGCCAGGAGACGTCTTTCCGCCCCTGCGGGGGTACTGGGCCCCTGGGCGGGGGCTAATTAACCGTGGCGTTGGTCTGGGGTGCCCTGGGAGCCTCCCAGGGAGGCCCGAGTCGCCAGGAAACGTTTCTGGGCCATCAGGGAGGCCCTGGGCTCCTGGGCGGGAGCTAATTCACCGTGGCGTTGGTCTGGGGTGCCCTGGGACCACCCCGCGGGGGCCCGAGTCGCCAGGAAACGTCTTTGGGGCTCCAGGGACGCCCTGGGCGCCTGGGCGGGAGCTAATTCACCGTGGCGTTGGTCTGGGGTGCCCTGGGAGCCCCCAGGGAGGCGGCCCGAGTCGCCAGGAGACGCCTTTCCGCCCCTAGGGGAGCCCTGGGCCCTTGGGCGGGAGCTAATTCACCGTGGCGTTGGTCTGGGGTGCCCAGGGAGCCCCCCAGAGAAGCCCGAGTCGCCAGGAGACGTCTTTCTGGCCCTAGGGGAGCCCGGGGCCCCTGGGCGATCGGCAATTCACCGTGGCGTTGGTCTGGGGTGCCCTGGGAGCCCCCCAGGGGGGCCCTGCTTGGAGACGTCTTTCCGCCCCTAGGGGGCCCCTGGGCCCCTGGGCGGGAGCTAATTCACCGTGGCGTTGGTCTGGGGTGCCCTGGGAGCCTCCCAGGGAGGCCCGAGTCGCCAGGAGACGTCTTTCCGCCCCTAGGGGGCCCCTGGGCTCCTGGGCGGGAGCGAATTCACCGTGGCGTTGGTCTGGGGTGCCCTGGGAGCCCCCCAGGGAGGCCCGAGTCGCCAGGAGACGTCTTTCCGCTCCTGCGGGGGTACTGGGCCCCTGGGCGATCGGCAATTCACCGTGGCGTTGGTCTGGGGTGCCCTGGGAGCCCCCCACGGGGGCCCGAGTCGCCAGGAAACGTCTTTGGGCCACCAGGGACGGGCCCATGGGCGGGCGCTAATTCACCGTGGCGTTGGTCTGGGGGGCCCGAAGGGCCACCTTGCGGAGGGCCGCTTCGCCAGGAGACGTCTTTGCCAGCCAGCCGATCGGGGATCACATGAGAAACTTTAGGATACGAGGTCGAAAAAAAAATTGCCACTGCTGAAACATGCTCGCTTGCAGATTTCATGCTGGCGCTCCAGAAGGAGGCCGACCAACGCCACGGTGAATTCGGTTGATGTTTTGGGGTTATAAGTCTCTTTGACGATCGCCCAGGCGGGCACAGGATAATCGCTTGCGCGTAAGCCGCATCATTGATAATGAGATAAGGCCCTCGCGGGCCATGCCTGACGGCAACCGAGACTCACCTGGGCAGACCTGTGATTCACGTACGGCCAGGAGGTAGTCTGACTGCGAGGTGCCAGTTAGGGCGCTTGCCGCCTAAATGGGTGGGTGGATACGGGCCAAGCGGCCCTGGGCGAGTTTAGGGTTTAGGGTTTAGGGTTTAGGGTTTAGGGTTTAGGGTTTAGGGTTTAGGGTTTAGGGTTTAGGGTTTAGGGTTTAGGGTTTAGGGTTTAGGGTTTAGGGTTTAGGGTTTAGGGTTTAGGGTTTAGGGTTTAGGGTTTAGGGTTTAGGGTTTAGGGTTTAGGGTTTAGGGTTTAGGGTTTAGGGGGGTTTAGGGTTTAGGGTTTAGGGTTTAGGGTTTAGGGTTTAGGGTTTAGGGTTTAGGGTTTAGGGTTTAGGGTTTAGGGTTTAGGGTTTAGGGTTTAGGGTTTAGGGTTTAGGGTTTAGGGCTTAGGGTTTAGGGTTTAGGGTTTAGGGTTAGGGCTTAGGGCTTAGGGCTTAGGGTTTAGGGTTTAGGGTTTAGGGTTTAGGGTTTAGGGTTTAGGGTTTAGGGTTTAGGGTTTAGGGTTTAGGGTTTAGGGTTTAGGGTTTAGGGTTTAGGGTTTAGGGTTTAGGGTTTAGGGTTTAGGGTTTAGGGTTTAGGGTTTAGGGTTTAGGGTTTAGGGTTTAGGGTTTAGGGTTTAGGGTTTAGGGTTTAGGGTTTAGGGTTTAGGGTTTAGGGTTTAGGGTTAGGGTTAGGGTTAGGGTTAGGGTTAGGGTTAGGGTTAGGGTTAGGGTTAGGGTTAGGGTTTAGGGTTTAGGGTTAGGGTTAGGGTTTAGGGTTAGGGGTATGGTTTGTGTTGAGGGTTAAGGTTTAGGGTTAGGGTGAGGGTTTAGGGTTAGGGTTCGGGTTCGGGTTTAGGGTTAAGGTTTAGGGTTCAGGGTTTAGGGTTAGGGTTAAGGTTTAGGGTTAGGTCATAGGGTTTAGGGTTACGGTTAAGGTTTAGGGTTAGGTTAGGGCTAGAGTTTAGGGTTAGGGTTAGGGTTAAGGATTAGGGTGTAGGGGTTAGGGTTAGGGTTAGGGTTAGGGTTTAGGGTCAGGGTTTAGGGTGTAGGGTTTTGGGGGTTAGGGTTTAGGGTTAGGGTTAGGGTTTAGGGTTAGGGTTTAGAGTTTAGGGCTAGGGTTTAGGGTTTAGGGTCAGGGTTGGGGTTGAGGTTAGGGTTTAGGGTTAGGGTTAGGGTTTAGGGTTTAGGGTGAGGGGTAGGGTTGAGGTTAGGGATTAGGGTTGAGGGCTAGGGTTAAGGGTTCAGGTTTAGAGCTTAGGTTAGGGCTAGGCTTAGTGTTAGGGTTTGGGGTCAGGGTTAGGTCTACGGTTAGGGTTTAGGCTTCGGGTTAGGGATTAAGGATTAGGGTTCAGGGTTTGGGTTAGAGGTTAGGGGTTCGGGGGGGTCGGGGCGGGAGTGGTAGGGATGGGGTTCCGGAGCCGGGGCGCGAGCCGGGGAAAGGGGGGGGGGGGGGTTCGCCGACGACGGTTCGGGAAAGGGAGGGGGGGGGGGGGGGGGGTTCGCCGGGGGCGGCACGGGCAAAAGGGACGGGGGGGGGGGGGGGTTCGCCGACGACGGCTCGGGGGGCAAGGGGGGGGGGGAGGGGGGGGGTTCGCCGACCACGGCTCGGGCAAGGGGGGGGGGGGGGGGGTCCGACCCCCCCCCCCTTTGGGTGATCCAGCCGGCGCCCCCCAGTTTGGGGGGGCCCGACGGCACAGGTTAGATATCCCCCCCTGGGAGCCCCAAGAGGCTTCAGGAAGCCCCAGGTGGGGTCCAGGAGGCCACAGGAGGCCCAGGAGGAAGCCCCAGGAGGTCAGGAGGTCCCAGGAGGCCCCAGGAGGCACCAGGAGGCCCCCGCAACTCGGAGCTCTGAGACGCCGCGCTCGAGGTGGTCCGGCCCGTTTCGCCTGAGACTTCCTCGCAGCACGTTCGCCCGAGATATCGTCGCAACTCTGGGGTCCGAAATGCCGCGCGCGAGGTGGTCCAGCCCGTTACGCTGGAGACATCCTCGCAACTCTGGGCTCCAAGATGCCCTGCGCGAGGTGGTCCGGCCCATCTCGCCTGAGACATCCTCGCAACTCTAAGCTCTGAGATGCCGTGCGCAAGGTGGTCCGACCCGTTTCGCACAAGACATTCTCGCAACTCTGAGCTCTCAGATGCTGCGCAAGAGGTGGTCCAGCCTGGGGGCCCAGAAGACCACATGTTACATATCCTCCCTGGGACCCTGGGAGCCCCAGGAGGCCCCAGAGAGCTTCAGGTGGCCGCAGGACGCCCAGGACAGGCCCCAGGGGTCCGCAGGAGATTCCCAAGGGGCTCCCAGGAGGCCCCAGGAGGCCCCCTATCAGAACGTGTCAAGTTAATACACATCCGGTGTCGATTCGTTGATTTTTCCTGCTCTTGTGGCCCCCCCCCCCCATTTTGGGGGGCCCCGACGGCCACATGTTAGATATCCCCCCCTGGGAGCCCCAAGAGGCTTCAGGAAGCCCCAGGTGGGGTCCAGGAGGCCACAGGAGGCCCGGGAGGAAGCCCCAGGAGGTCACCAGGAGGTCCCAGGAGGCCCCAGGAGGCCCCCGCAACTCGGAGCTCTGAGACGCCGCGCTCGAGGTGGTCTGGCCCGTTTCGCCTGAGACTTCCTCGCAGCACGTTTCGCCCGAGATATCGTCGCAACTCTGGTGTCCGAAATGCCGCGCGCGAGGTGGTCCAGCCCGTTGCGCTGGAGACATCCTCGCAACTCTCGGCTCCGAGATGCCGTTCGGGATGAAGAGGAGGTGGAGGAGGAGGAGGAGGAGGAGGAGGAGGAGGAGGAGGAGGAGGAGGAGGTGGAGGAGGAGGAGGAGTGTTTTAACATGCCATGCCAGCCCGCACTGGACGGGCACGCAATCGACCTTGGAAACCGCAGTGGGTCTAAAAACCCTCTTTGGGGATACTGCACTCCGGCTATAATTTTGATTTCGCTTTGCATTTTTGAATATTTTGGGGGAGTGTCAATGTTTCGTCCAAAATCCGCCCATAGGAGGACATGCCCGACCTAACAATCATGTCGAGTACCCAGACAAGTATCGAAGCAGGGTGTGCCCGACGCGCCATCGAAGTGTCGAGCGAGTATGGCTTCCCAGGGCCCCGCGCGTAAAAACCCTTCAGTTTCGGTACTTCTCTTGGTACTCGAAAATCTTTCCGGTGATCAAGACTAAAGTAGGTTGGAGCATCCTTACGTCTCTAATTCGGGCTCCCCGCGGCCTCTCAGGACTATTCTGACATCCCCGGAACGCGCCCGACGACGCGCAGATGATAGGCGCCCTCCCGGGCCCCGAGCACCGCCAGAAACTGACGCACGCGCTGCTTGGCATCGCTCGGACGTGTGCATTTTTTCCTCGGCGAGGACCATGGAGGAGCATCCTGGACCATCGAGCAAATAAACACGCACGAGACCGAAACATGCACCGGAAATGGACGTCCGAGCGACGGCAAGCGGAGGATCACCTCTGGCAGCCCCCGACTTCCCCCCTCGCCCTTTTCCACACGGCCCTGCGCCTCCCGGCCGCGTGGGCGGCGGCCGGGCTCCCGCCGCGGCGGCCGCCTCGACGCGCAGCGCCAGCTCCCGGGCGCCGCGCCAGGGCCGCCGGACGCCAGGGCGGAGGGCAAGCGCGCGGGCGCGGGCGCGCGCGCGCGTGCGCTCGCGGCCGGGGGCACTTCGAGGGCCGCCGTCGCCGCCGCCAGTGCGCGCGCGCGGGAGAGGGCCGATCAGAAGGGCCGCCGTTGCCGCTGCCGCTCCGACTCCCGTGCTGCCGCCGTCGCTCTCGCTGCCGTCGCCGCCGCCGCCGCCGAAGGAGAGGGGACGGAGGAGCAGGAGGAGGAGGGGGAGGAGGAGGAGGAGGAGGAGGAGGAGGAGGAGGAGGAGGAGGAGGAGGAGGAGGCCCGCTTGCCCGCACAAGGAGTCATGAACCATCTCATACTTGGACGAGCGAGTGTGCTTCCGCCAGCGTAATCGCAAAGCTGTTAGCACTGGAGGGCACGTGGATGTCCTGCCCTGGGCCTCTGCAGCCGTGGAGGCCTCCAGAGGCCAAACACGTGACAGGCACCCGAGTGTCCTCCTCCTGCAATAGCTCAAGGGGCCGACGTCGGGGCGCGAGTTTCTGACGTGCCACGCTCGGGCGTCGGTCGCCAGCGTCTGCGCGCCATGGCGCGGGCGTTCTACATTGGCAATGGCGACGCAGGCCAGGCGTTCGTCAAAGACTCGCCAGCCTACGGGAAGGTGGAGGTCAAGGAGGCTCGCAAGGGCATCGCCATATACGAGGTTGGCCACACTGAGCCCTCCATGATCTTGTCCTCATCGTTGTCGTTTCCTTTTTCCCCCTTCTCCTCCTCGTCGTCCGTTTTCCTCTGCTCCTCCTGCTCCTGCTTCTTCCTCGCCTTCGCCATCCTCGTCTTCGTCGTCGTGTTCCTCGTTCTCCTTTGGTTCCTCTGGTTCCTAAGAGACGTAGTCCGCCCTGTAAACTACGCCCACCTACTTAAAGCAGGATCCGCCTCGAGGCCAGGAGCCACGCCGCACACCTCGGGGCCCGACCAAAGTTTAAAGAACGCCGCCCCGAGGCCTCTTCAGGCCTCGGGAGCCACGCCAAAAACCTCAGACACTCTCTCGGCGGCCCTGGGACCAGGGGCCAGGACGCGATAGGAGGACACGGCAGGCCCCAGAGCACGTTCGCCTGAGGTTCCCGACCCGCCAGGAGCCGCCCGCGGGCCGCCTTCCCCAAAACGGACCCAGTCCTGAGGGCGGCTTCTCCAGGGCTTGCAGGGCCGAGAACCCCAAAAAGGGTTTGCCGACGGGCATGCGCCCCGCACAACCTGCAGAAAGCGATCGCCTCACCCCCTTGGGCACGACCGTCCCGCCCCCGCGCCCCCCGCCCACCCTGAGACACCCAGAGCCCGTGGGAGGGGTGGGCGATCGCCGCAGGCCATGGCACGCCTGGTCACGGGCGGCCGAGTGTAGGAGACCGAGGCCCACTCCTGATCCCGCACTTGCTGCACCCCCGGGCCCCCCCCCAAGACGCCCCACGGCGTGCCCGTTCGGGCCGGAGACCAGGGCGAGGACCTGAGGAGGGCACGGGGGCAGGGGAGCGGGCTCCGATCGGGCCAGCCCGCGCCAGCGACCTTCCTCAGCACTGTGCCACGGTGGCGCAGAAGCAGAGTCGCCGCGGCGGTCGCCGCGCTCGCGCGCCTGGCGAGCTCCTCGACCGCCGCGAGGTCTCCGTGCAGCTGGGCGCCCTGCCTGGCCCTCTTGTCGGCCTCCTGGTTGCCGACGTGCCGGGCCGCGAGGGTCCCCGAGCGCTCCGCCTCGGCCCAGCTGGTGTGGCCCTCGTCCAGCGGAGCCTGAAGCTCTCGCCCAAATCGTGAATTCGGAGCCAGATCTCACACCATAGCTCCGCGCACTTTCATTCGGGACTGATGCGCCAGCTCGGCCCCCTCCTGAAGTCGTCGACCTCATTCTTGCAGTCGGTGATGACCGCCAGCTCGCCTGAGCTCCGCGCGCCTGATCTTGCACCGCGCCAGCCACCGTGCCCAGCAAGCCGCCGACCACGCCGCCGTCGTCAGACACCATGACGGCGGCCCAGCCCGTCCGAGTGACCTCCACCAGCTGCGGGAAGAACGCCGAGCCGTCGATGCGCGCGGTGCCCGAAAAGCCCCCGTGGCTGAGGGCCCCCGCTCTGAGGCGTTGCTCCGCCGCGGCAGGGCGCGGCGCCTGCGCGGCCTCCGGCCCAGGTGGGACCAGACACCTCACGAAGCCCGTGTCCGTGGTTTCGGCCATGGCCCCTGCCTTGCGCATTGCCTCCAGGCCCGTGTCCCTCGCGACCGTCGCCGCGCCGTCGCTGCAGAACTGCTCGTGGTGGTGCGCGCCCCTGCCGAGCCCGCGCCGCTGGCCGTCGCGCGAGATGGCCGCCCTCTCCCCACGCAGCTTGCACTGGGACACCAGGCCGCCGCGGACCAGGCTCTCGACTAAGGCCCCCTGCTCCGTGTCGCCCTGCGCCCGCAGGGAGTGCAGCGCCGCGCGCGCGGGGTGCGTCGCGGGCGCCCCTTCCAGCTGCCCGTGGAAGCGGTCAGGCGCCTTCCTAATCGGCGCCTTGAACGCGCCGTGCTCGACCAGCACTCCGATGAGCCTCGGGCCGCGGAACCTCGGGTCGAGCTCCTCGCCCCTGTCCGTGTCCGCGAATGCCGGGGCGACGCGCCCCGGCCGATGCGACTGAGGCCGAGGCGCGCCGCGCCTGCAGGCCCCGTGGCTTGGGCCGCGCCGCCTCGAAAACCGCGCCGTTGCTGTTCGCGGGCCTGAGCTTGGCGAACGCCGCCTTGGCCCATCTGGCCAGCGGCAGGCAGCTCGCCGCGAACGCGGGGCCCCGTCTCCTCCCCGAGCCAGGCTGGATGGCGAACTGCAGCGTCCTGTTCCTTTTGCCGCGTGCCCCTGGAACTGCCCGACAGTTGGCGGCCCTGGCCCTGTCGCGGACCTTGGGCGGCACGCCTCTGACTCTGGCCCCGCGGAGGATGGCGGCCAGCCCGCTGCGCCTGAGGACCGCCCCAGAGCTTGGACCCGGCACGCCGTGGCTGCATGGGCCACGTCGCTTTGATCGACGAGCGCCGCGGCTCCAGCCTGCCTCGGAACGCCCCCCGCGAGGCTTTGCCGTCTAGCCTGCAGTCGATCCCCAGGTTCTTGGCCTCGCGGCGCAACCTGAAGCCCCACTTCCCGAGGCGGTGCGCCACCGTCTTGCTTGAGCGAGATCTTGGAGTCGTTTTTTCCTCCAACCTTTGGCACGGCCACCTGGTCGCGCCGAAGATCCCGAACTCCGCGCCCCGCAGCCGCCCGCGCGCCGCCAACGCGACGTCGTCCACCACCAGGCACGCGTGCACATTGAGCCAGCTCTGAGCGAGGGCGTCCATGGCCGAGAGGAGCATGGCCCTCAGCAGGGTCGCGGCGCAGGCGCAGCCCGCGACGATTGAGTCCGCCCAGGTAGAGCCGCCAGCGTCCACCGTGCGAGCGGAGGGCGAGCTTTTGCAGCCGAAAGCCGTTCCTCTCGGCAGCCTCCGTCAGCCCTGCGTAGCCGACCCGCTCGTGAGCCTTGGACATGCCCAGCATCGACGTCATCGAGGGCGGCCTCGCCGCCGCCGCCGAATCCGCGTCGGAAGCCTGGGGACAGGCCGCGCCCTCGCAGGACTTGCCCGCGCCGCTGTGGGGGGGGGCCCCAGGGCACTCGCGCCCGCGGTCTCGGGCCTCGTCGCGGCGCGTCATTCCCAGCGGGCGGACGCGGCTGTTGAGGGGCCCGATGGGCCGCCAGCCCCCCTCGGCCTTGGCCAGGAAGAAGATGTTGACCATGTCCAGCTGTCCAGGGACCCTGCGCGTCGCCCCCGCGCGCTGCAGCGCGGGCCCCAGCGCGGCGGGACCGTCGCCACTCGGGTGGCCGAGTGACTGGGGCCTGACGCAGTCCACGCCCGTCGCCGTCGAGGCCCCGCGCTGCCGCCGCCGCCCCGATGGCCCGTGGGGGCGGCGCTTCGCGTGCCGCTCCCAGCGTCTCGTCGGGGAGGGCGTCGTCGGGGCTCACCGGCGCTGCTTCGCCGTGCCTCCAGACCTCCCGGCATTCGCCCTTCAGCGCGCCCAGCGTGGCCGCTATGCCTGCAGGCCCGCCCTTCCCGTCGAGGTCCGGCGCCTTGCAGAGCCGACGTGCCGCTCCTCTGCCGCCCTGCGCGCCCTCCCGGGCCCAGCGGCGCCACTGCTGGCTCCTCGACCTGCCGCAGCGGTCCTCGGGCTTCGCTGCGATGCCGCGGGCCTGCTGCTCCAGCTCCGCCAGGTCGCAGTGGCTGAGGTGGTTGAGCTTGCGGGGCTGTCGCTTCCACTTGCGGGCATCTCCCCCCGTGAGTACGTCGCCCCCCGGGCCGCTAGGCGCTAGCGAGCCCGCCTTGGCCCCCAGCACCTTCAGCTGCTCCAGCGCCTCGGGGATGGCCGCCCTGACGTGCAGGCGGCAGCCCTTGGGGTGCGGGCCTCCTCAGCAGCGCGCCCTTCTCCGCATGCTGCGGCTCGGCCTCGCGCCCGGCGTGGAGGTTCCATTCAACTGGGCCGGCTGGGTGCGCGCCCAGCAGGTCCGCCCCCGTCAGCTTGAGGAACTCCCCGTAGATCTGAGACGCCATGCTCTGCTGCCCCCTCTCCGAGACCTCCTCGGCGCCCTGCCGCCGCGTAGAGCGGCCGCGTGGCTGCCCCTGGCCGTGGGGAGGGTCGCGGCGTGCTCGGCGAGCTGCCCCCCGCCCCGCCCCGACCAGTGCGCCGCCCCTCGAAGCCGCCGAAGCCCCGGCCGCGCTGCCCCATCCAGCGGCGGCCCGCTCTCCCGACCCCGCGCCGGAGGCGCGCGGAGGGCCCGCAGGGCACCTCGGCGCCCTTCTCCTCTTGGCCCGCCGACGAGTTCGGATCCGCTGTCCTTGGTGCGTCGACCTTCCTTGCCGAGCCTGCCGTCGCTCTGCCCGACGCCGTCGCGGATGGCCTGCGCCCGGGAGGGGGAACACAACGCAGACATAAGAATCGTCGATCCCCAGGAACATAGGGGAAATATGGAAAGCGGGGGGGAAGACGAGCATCCAGAAAATACAAGAACATGTGGGGAATCCTGGGATTTGTGCGGGCCTTTATTTGCAGGTCCCTGGGCGCCCTTACGCGCGTCCTGCGCGCCCCCCGCTGCCTGCGCATCCTCCGCCGCGTGCCCCCGTGCAGGCCGTCGATCGCGTCCGCCCCGCTGCCCATCGCCCGCTTCGGCGTCTCGGCGTTGGCTCAGGAGGGGGTCTGGTGGCCTTAGGCCAGGCATCTTTCTCTGCGGGGGGGATATTCAAAAAATAGTCAGGGAATGATGTTTGGGGTGTTTTCTAATATTTTGGTGCACTTGTGCGCTATTTTGTCCCCAAAAATCCGCCCGCAGGGGGGCGCGCCCGACCGATCTCTTTCCAGCAGAGCGCAGCTACGCCGAGCCTGAGGTACTCCCCATAGGGGGGGCTTCCCCGGGACTTGCCGTTCTGACGGCGCAGCGTGGCGACGCTGAGCCTGCGGTGTTCCCCGGCGGGGCTTCACCCGCAGGGCTTGGCGTTCTTGTAGCCTGCGCCTCGTCGACCCTGCGGCCCCCGTCCGCGTCGGTGCCGTGCTTGCCGCGCTCGGAGGCCATGAGCGCCCCCGCAGGCTGGCGGTGTTTCCGAAGCACGTGCGCTGTGATGGTACCCCCCACGATTCTCCACTACGCCGTACTCGTCGCTGTCCCAGCCAACCCGCTCCAGCCTCAGCTCAGACCCGCGTGCGCTGCGACGGTAGTCCCCGCGGAACTCCACGACGCCGCGGGCTTCGCAGCCGACTCCAGGGCCCCGCTGGCCGCCCCCACGTAGGACGGAAGTTGCTCGCGGCCCCTCCACGCCTGACCGCGCAGCGGCCGTCGTGACCGCAGCACCTCGAGGCGCGGGCCCCGCCAGAGACCCGCCATTAGGGCAACCGCCCGCATGCGCAGATGGACTGGAGCCCGTTTCTTTGTTGCTTGGGGCATGACGGGTATCATGGCCCCCGCTCCCCCCCCTCCCCATGACGTAACGCTCCCCCCCCCAATGCGCTCCGGGCACAGCCGCCGTGCGCATTGGGATCCGCGTAGGAATCCGCATAGGCCGCATAGAAGTCTGGTCCGCAGTCGTCGTCGTTCGTTCGTCGTCGTCGTCGTCGTCGTCGTCGTCGTCGTCGTCGTCGTCGTCGTCGTCGTCGTCGTCGCTCGTGGCTTGTCGCCCGTCGCTCATAGTCGTCGTGCGCGCGGACGCAGCTGAAGCCTGTTTTTTTATTCTGGGCCGATGACGGCAATCATCTAGGGAGGATTGGAGGGGGTCGATGACGTCACGTTTCGCGCCGGCGGCGTCTGGGAATGCCTAGGAATGACGGAGGACGGGCAGCGCCAGCACGTAGGTGGGGATTTGCACACAACGTTTGTGTACACCACAGTGCCTGCGTGCACCACAGCGCCTGTGCACACCACACCGCCTATGTACACCACAGCAGCCGCGTACAACACAGCGTCAGTTTGTGCCACCGTGCCTGCGGGCACAATAGCTCTTGTGCACACCACATCGCTTGCGTACACCACATCAGCCGTGTGCAACACCGCACTGGTGTACACCACAATGCCTGCGTGCATTGCAGTGCCTGTGTGCACCACGGCGCCTGTGTGCAGCACAGCAACCGTGTGCAACGCAGCACCACTGTTGTATATAGAATGTTAGAACGAATCTTTCTGACAAAATGGGGCGCTTGTGGATTCCACAAAATGCAATAGAAACTAATCCTTATGGACAGCGGGGCGCCGCTGGAATCTACGAGTCCTCCTGAGTCCGCCCGCATCACCCTAACTCCTCCCATTTGCGTCCAGGAGGCTCCAGCTAAATTGGCGGTCCGAGAACCAAGTGGACCGATTCAATAGATCATTATGCGGGGCGCGCAGAGACGCGCACGTGCGCTGCAGCGCCAACCCGCACGACAGGGGGTGAGGAGGAGGAGGAGGAGGAGGAGGAGGTTGGAGGAGGAGGAGAAGGAAGAGGAGGAGGAGGAGGAGGAAAAGCAGGAGGAGGAGGAGGTGGTGGAGGTGGAGGAGGAGGGAGGAGGGAAGAACGTCGCATTCGATTATCAGCACTTTCCTGGCGTGGCGTCTAGTTGTCCGCAGCAGATCCTCGCGTACATGCTCCTTATACCTGTCCTATGCACGCAGGCATTGTGGTGAACACCAGCGCTGCGTTACGGATGCTGTGGTGTAGACGCGCGCTGTGGCGTGCACAGGCGCTGCGGTGCACGCAAACACTGTGGTCTACACAGGCGCTGTGTTGGACATGGTAGCTGCGGTGTACACATGTACACGGGCGCTGTAGTGTACGCAAGCATTGTGGTGTACACAGTCGCTGCGTTGCACACGGTTGTTGCGGTGTACGCAAGCGTTGTGGTATACACGCGCGCTGTGGTGCACGCGGGCGTTGTGGTGTACACAGGCGCAGTGGGGCATATCGTCACCTACATTCTGCTCGCGTCGTCGTCGTCGTCGTCGTCGTCGTCGTCGTCGTCGTCGTCGCTCGTCGCTCGTCGCTCGTCGCTCGTCGCGTCGCGCGAGCGGGCGCGGCTGCGGTGCCGGAGCCACACGGCGACGGCGGGGGGGGGGGGGCGTTACGTCAGACCCCCCCCTTCGCCCCCCCCCATCCCCATGACGCCCGTCATCGCCGAACATAAACAAACGCGCTCCTGCCACCGGGAGGCCCCGACATGACGGCTTGTGAGCTGGCGCGCGCGAAGTTTTCGAACGAGGCGAGCCTGTCGGTGTTGACGTGCTCGTGGCCACCCCCAGCTTGGTCAGCACCGCGCGCATGCGCCCCAGGAGAGGCGCCCAGTCGGGAGGCTCTGGTCGCGGGCCACTTGGTCGCGCCCCTGGAAACTGTTGAGCTGCCCTGTGGACCGGCCTGCTTTCGGGGCTGCCCCTCCCGCTCAGCTGGGGCCTCGCGGGCCAGCGCGGCGCTGGCGTCGCGTCCAGCTTGATGCGCCCCAGCACCATGCCGCCCATGCCGCTCGATACTGCGAAGGAGTCGATACGCGGCCATGCCGCCCACCTTCTGCGGCCGGCCCCGGTGCTCCTGCCCCCAGAGCCTGCAGTTTCAGCCGCCGCCGACCTCGTAATCAGGCCACCTTTGTGCGGGCCAGGTGCTCGCTCAGCTGCCTGAGGATGAGCTTCGACTCCGCGTCGAGGCCCTTGGCTGCCACGAGGTAGACCGAGACCGCCAAGAAGCCGCCTGGGGCCCCGCAGTCGACCCACTTCGCGATGACGCGGTCGCGGGGCAGCTTGGCTCCCTTGGGCGCCTCGCCCATGCCGATGTGAGCTCGGACTCTGATGCCCGCCCCGCTCGACAGCCCGCCCTTCTCGGTGCGGACCGACTCGTTGAAGGCCGCCTTCCAGCCCTCGCGCCGACGCGCCTGCTCGGCCTCAGCCGCGGCGCCAGGCGCCGCGCCCACCTCCTGCAAGGAGACCGCGTCGGCAGTGGCGTCCCGCTGCAGCCAGCGCGTCGTGCTCCCGCGGGACGCGGTGTTGGCGGCATCCAGCCACCAGGCCCCGACCTCGCGCCGTGCCTGCGCCGGCCTCCGCCTGGCTCCCGCTGTCGTCGCCGCGGGCTCGCTTGGCGGCTGGAAGCTCGATCCCTGCGGCCTGGCACGCCCTCTCGAGCTCGCGGCGGTTCTCGCCCTCAAAAAGTCCAGCTGGTCGAGGAGCGTCGAGTGGCCGTCGCGGACGTCCGCTTCGCCCGCTGCCCCAGCGGGGCCCTGGCGCCTCTCGCTGCCCGCGCCAGCGCCAGGAGGATGACCCCCTGGCAGTCTCCGCCCGCGCGCCCTGCATGGGGCCGTCCTTGACGCCGTCCTCGAAGTTCCGCCGCTGCAAGGCTTTGCGCGAGGCCTCGATGCTGGCCGCCTCTGCGCCCTCGGCTGGGACCGCCGCCAGCGCCTCCAGACCAGCCTGAGCCTTGGCCAGCTCGGCCCCGCGGGCCGAGTGGTTGCCAGGTGGCGGCCCAGCCTGCTCCGCCCGCTCGGCCTGCTCCAGCGCCTCGCGGCCCTCGGCCTGACGCTTGCAACGGCCTCCGGCGCCTCGCTGGCCTGCGCCGTAGCTGCCTTTGCCTGCTCCAGCTCCTCGACGGCTTCCTGGCACGCCGCGGCCCTGGCGGCCGCCCGCTTGTGCAGCCTCTCCGGGCGCCAGACGCAGCCCTGCAGTACCTGGTAGTAGGTCTTGGGCTTGGCCTCCTCCGCAGGCAGCGGCTGGGGCGCCCGCTTGGCACGGTCCGCGTCGCTGATGACCGCTCCCTTGTCCGCTGGCAGGGCCAGGCACGCCGCGACCGCGTCCTCGCTGACGCTCCCCCCATGGGCTTGAGGGTGCACCTTGCTCGGCCCCCGACGCAGACTCCGCCGCTGCCTGGCCGCCCTGCGGCGTCTGCTTGGCGCGTCCTTTCTCCTCCTTCCCTGCTGCGCCAGCCGCCTTGCCGTCTCCCCGCCTGGGCCCCGCCCGCGTTTGCCAGCGCGGGCTGACGCGCCGCCGTCGGGGCCGCCCTCCCGCAGGTGCGGCAGGACAGCCGGCAGGCCCAGCTGACGTCGGTGCGGCACCTGCAGCCCCGGAAGGGCCTGCGGGGGCCCGGCAGCACGGCTTCGGGCTTCCGCCGGGGCGCTGGCGTGGGCCCTCCGCCTCCGCCCCGCCGCGGCCCCCATCGCCGCCGCAGCGCCCCTTCTGGCAGCGCAGAGGGGGCCGCGTGGCGGGGCGCCGGAGCCATCGCAGGAGCTCAAAGGGAAGCGGAATGACGATTGCACAGTCAGATTGACACGCACGAGCGCGCCGCTCTCAAGTACGCTCGTGCAAGACACCCCCTTCTGGAGAGCCCATAACGGTTCTCCTCATTCTCCTTATTTGATTCCTCCTGCTCCTCTTCCTCCTGCTCCTCCTCTTCCTCGTGCTCCTCTTCCGCATGTTCCTCTTTCCGCCCCTACGAGGTTGGCGAAACCGAGCTTGGCCTGACGCCCAAGGGCGAGTTGCAGCTGGACTTCAAAGTGGGTTTTTTGGGGGGCGCCAAGAAAGAGACCCCAATACCGGCTTAGCAGAGAAATCGCAGGTTTCTGCAAGGGAAGATTGGGAGGAGCTCCTTCTGCTGCTGCTTTTGCTGCTGGTCCCTCCTCCTCCTCCTCCTCCTCCTCCTCCTCCTCCCCCTCCTCCCCCTCCTCCTCTGAGGAGGAGGAGGACCAGTGTAAACCCAAGAGTCATCAACGATGTTGGAGCAAACCCTCCCTCCAAGCTTCCTCTTCATAGGCCCCTACAACGGTTCATTTCCATTGAGGAAATTGCTTCGTTGGAAGACAACCGTTTGAAGCCTGCAGCATGCCAAAACATTGCTCTCGGGATTCCAACGCACGGATCAACCTGACTGTTGCGTTTTGACGATCCTGAGTCGAACCAGCACGCCATTATGGGACTTCAGCACGGAGAATCATTGTAACTGTTGCACCCGCATAATCCAGAATTTTCCCAAAACGCAATTTCTGGTACGTTGATGATGGAAATCCGTGAAACTCGTGAACAATGTGTGAACGAATGTGCGCAGCGCTAAGGCGAGAGCCACATTTCGAAAAGGAACCGCCCTCAATCCGTGAAGTTCTTGCAAATGTTTAAGACGAGTGTGCGCCGCGCTGAGGCGAAAGCCAGATATTGAAAACAACCCGCCCTCAATCCGTGAAGCTCTTGCCATTACCCGCCCTCAATCCGTGAAGCTCTTGCAATGTTTAATACGAATATGCGCCGCGCTAAGGCGAGAGCCACATTTTGAAAACCACCCGCTTTCAATCCGTAAGACTCTTGTATTGCGAAGGCCTTACGGCCGGTGCCGCCGACCCTGAAGGGGAACGACGACGGCGGCGGCGGCGGTAGCGACGACGACGATGCTGACGTGGGTTGAGTCCTCAAACGTGCTTCTTGGGGTTTCTTCCAAGCGCTCTCGGGGGCCTCTGGGGGGATGTTCGGGGGCCTCTTGGGAGCCTCTTGGGGCCTCTTTGGGCTTCCTGGGGGCCTCTTGGGGCTTCTCGGGGCTGAGGGCTCGAAATGTCCGTTCGGGTCCCCCATCTGGGCACTCTCTTGGAACCGTCTTGGGGGCCTTTTGTGCCGTCTTGAGGCGTCTTGGGCCGTCTTGGGGCACTCTTGGGCCGTTTGGGGACTCTCTTGGAGGCCTCTTGGGCCGTCTCGGGGCGACCTTGGGGGCCTCTTGGGCCGTCTTGGCGCGTGGAGAAACGGAAGAGGCGAGAACGCCAAAATTCTTGAAAAACGTATGGGAAATCCATGATTTTTGCCTCTTGGGGCTCTCGTGGGAACGGTCCTGGAGGCCTCGTGGGGCGTCTCGCAGGCCTCTTGGGCCGTCTGGAGGCCGTCAAGGCGTCTTGGACATATCATTCGGCGATTCGGGGCCTTCTTGGATCGTCTTGGGGGCCTCTTGGGGCACTCTTGGCCCGTCTTGGGGCTTTTTTGGCCTCCGGGATTCCCCGGGGGGGCGGCGTAAAAACCCGGGACCCCCCCCCGGGACCCACCCCGGGACCCCCCCCCCCGGCGGGGAAGGGATCAAAGGGAAGGGGCTTCCTTTCGACTCAATTACGACGTTGCTCAATTTCGCTTTGGACTGGCACGCTTCAGGAGGAGGCCCTGGGAGAGGGGTAGAAGCAACGACGCTGTGGGGAAAGAGGAAGGAACGACGACGACGACGACGAAGAGGGAATAGACGGAGAAGCCTCTTCCACACGCCGACAGGGTCGGCGGATTTTTTACAACGAATGTGCGCCGCGCCAAGGCGAGAGCCACATTTCGAAAAGCACCCCCCCTCCATTTATGAAACTGTTGCTCTTTTTACGCTTCAGAGTCATAAGTGGTGAGGAGGTCGCCCTAAAAACTGGCCTCGGTGTGCGACAGGGAGAAGTTGCTTGTTAGGAGAAGGACTGGAGAAGGAATGGAGGAGGAGGAGGCGGAGGCGGAGGAGGCGGAGAAGGAGGAGGAGGCGGAGGAGGAGGAGGAGGAGGATCGACCATTCAGAGGCGCCGCATTCAGAGGCGCTGGCCACCGCACGAGGCGTCCACGAGGCGCCCGTCGCGGCCACTCCACGAAAGCCGCGGATTTGGCTGGCCGATCGCTCGGCCGCCGAGTGATAGGACTGTGGAAGTCGATCAACGGAAGGGGAGCACGCTGCCAAATAGTCCCCAGATGTTTGAAGCATGTGTTAAAATGTATCAAACATCTGAAACAAAAACATGTTTGAAACACGTTTAGAACATTTCCCCGACAGCTTAAGCACATTGCAAATTCAATGATAGGACTGTTAGGGTGTCCATTGTCGTGGCATCCACAAGTGTAGGAGCCTGTCGGCGAAGGCGCTGCTTGGGGAAATCCTTCGGTGCGGTCGAGCCCAGGTCGTGTTCTCGGAGGAGGAGAGGGTGCCCATACCTCTGCCCCCCCCCTCGTTCTCTCCTTTCTGGGCCTCCTGGACCTCCCTCGTCGCCACCGCTGGATTCGCTTCGAAATCCTGGTCAGAACGCACCCCAGGAAAGGTTCGTCGTCGTGCCTAGGGGAACGAAGAATGACATAAACGTAAAAACTCGGAGGTCCGCGCGGATTTTTCGAATCCGCGCTGAGGACCCCTGGCGGCGCTTCCGGAGCCGCCCCTGGCGCGCTCCGCGCGCCAGGGAGGGGGGTCCAACGCCAATCTGAGAAATCCGCGCGGACTTCGGAGTTTTTATGTTTATGTCATTGTTCGTTCCCCTGGTCGTGTTCGTCGTCGTGCCATCGTGCGTCTGCTGCCCTGGCTGCCTGCGGAGGGCTGCCGTCAGCGGGCCTTCGCGGCCGTTCTGGTTCAGGTTCTCTTGGCTTTCGGCCCCCGGCGAAGCAGCCCGTGAGCGGCGGCTCGAGCTCGGTTCCGCTCCGCCCCAGAGGCCGCATGGAGGCTCTCCGTGGCACCAGACAGGAGGGGGCGCTGCCTTGGTCACATGGGCTGTTGCTGGCTACGCCTCCGCACTCGCCGAGGAGACTGTCTTCACATTCCCAGGCGCCACCGGGAGCAGCTGTCGCCGCCAAGTCCCTGCCAGGACTTTTGCTCCAGGACTCGGACGGGCAGGCGCACGCCGCACAGGACGTGGACCTCCTCGCAGCGAGCGAGCCGTTCCTCGACCACGCGAAGATCGCAGCGATGCAGCGCCACCTGAGCGCGGCGAGCGCACACATCGAAAAACTGCTGGTGGCTCGCGGCGCGGACGCGAGCGCCGAGGGTCCGCCGGCCTGTGCTTCCGCCGCACCGCTCTCTGGGGCCATTCAGCCGCAGTCCTCCGACCGCGCCGGCGTTGCGGGCAAGACTCCTTCCCATCTCCACACGGTCTAGCGCGCAGGATCCTACAGGATCTTGCAGGATCTTGCAGGTTGCTGCAAAGCCCGGCTGGCCCGGGCTTGGATGGACCCTGAGCAGGAGGTCCCCGAGTTTTGGGTGAAGGCGCGCCGAGGCCAGCCACCTTGGGGGCCCCGTGAGTGTTGCAGGCCAGCGTGCTTTCTGAAGGGCAACATCAGGGGTGGATAGGCTCGGAGGAGGCGGATGAGCAGGAGGGTCAGGAGGGTCAGGAGGAGGAGGAGGAGGAGCAGGAGGAGGAGGAGGAGGGGGAGGAGGAGGAGGAGGGGGAGGAGGAGGAGGAGGAGGAGGAGGAGGAGGAGGAGGCGCAGTGCATCGACCCCCAAGCATCCATGGATCGCCGACAGCGTCCAGGTGGTCCGCCCTGCCCAGGACCGCGCGGATTCGCCATCGGGGGCCCAATCACCCATCTGCAGTGAGCCCGTAAAGCAAGGCTGCGCGGTAAGGATGCGCGGTAAGTATGTAGGGATGCAGGGAGCCCGTGTAGTAAGGATGCGCGGTAAGGATGCAAGCGTCGTGGGAACCCACTTCGAAGCTTTTCGAGCGGGGCGCGGTCAACGAAAGTGGCCAAGGGTGGACCGAGGAGGCAAGGACGCAAGGGTTTCTTTGGGAAGGGTGCCCATCCTTGCTATGCGGGTTGGCTGTATCGGCGATGCGCTGCCGGTTCTGGTGAAATATTGCCGGTCCCCTCACACCGCGGCGCCCTCGTTTTCTCACATCTTTGAGCGCCGTCGATGTCCAGGTGGTCCCTCCGCGGGCTCGTGACGAGACGACCTGGCGAGACACCAGATCCCCGACGTCATGAGTTCTGCACCGCGTGGACACCCAGAGGTCTGGACCCATCCCTGGGGACCAGGTTTTCATCCAGAGTCGGTTTCAGGGTGCCGAGGCCTGGTATGGGCCCCAGGAGGCAGAAGATAGTAAAGACTTCCCGTCGCGCGAGGGGGTCTGGGAATGCCTGGACCGCGAGGCCTGGATATCTCCGGAGGGACCGTGGGTTATGGTTGTGGAAATCGATTAATGGAGAGGAAGCGTGCTGCCTAATAGATTCCAGATGTCTAAAACATGTTTCAAACATGTGTTCAACATGTTAAAGCATGTTGAACACATGTTTAGAACAGGTTTTGCACATCTTAAACACATGTATGATTCAATGATAGGATTTCTAGAGTGTCCATTGTCAAGGCATCCACAAGGTTATGGAAGACCTCCATTGCAGTCTGCGGCACGGCCTACAGGCATCCGCGAGCTTGGTTTGTTGACTGGTTCTGCACGACCAGTCGTTCGGTGATCGACCATCGGTGCGCCCCATCGGTGATCGGCCAGCCTCTGTCCCTGTCTCTGTCTCTGTCTCTCTCTCTCTCTACATCCCTTTCACATCCCCATCATTGAGGAAATCGGTCGCGCCCCTCACGCAGATCGCGACGTCAGAGTCCAATCCACGATGAATATTTACCATAGTAACATAAAGCCTTCAACCCACACCATTGGTTTTAATGATGTTGGACATCGTTCTTACCGTTTCGCGTGAGATAACCCCAGCATCGAAGCCCGAATTATTCCAATGTGTTCTCATATTCTCCAAAACTACAGTCTCGCTCGAGAACTCATCCGAAACTTGGACTCGGAGCTTCCTCTCAACTGCAGTCGCAAGGTGTGGAGCCCCCTCCTGCGCCACACTCGTCGCAGGGCGTGGCAACCCCAGCTGCACTCGACTGCGATCCCGCTATTGCACCTCTCCTCCTTCTCTCCTTGTTCCTGCTCGGATCCGATGCCATATTCTTCTCATTGCCCACCTTCTGCGATGCTTGCGCGCTGTATGTCTTTTTGTATGAGCCTGGGTACTCACGTGCCATCTCTCATATACCGGAAATCTGGCCCCGGAGGCCCTGGGGCCACAGCACAGCAAGGGTCCCCTCGGCTCCAGCAGCGTCCTGGTGGCGTCCCCAGCTCCTTCCTGGAGCCCGCCCCGTAAGCCCTGGACTCACGATAGAATTTCTCGACGTCCCCTCATTATCCTCCTTCTCTCTGTTCTCCTCCGCTTCTCCATCTCCTTCCTCCTCCTCAGATCCGATTTCCTATTCCTCTTCTTGTATTGCTCTCTCTCTCTCTCTCTCCCTCTCCTAGTTCGAATTTGCAGGTAATTGCACTGGGGTGCCCCCTAGGCCAGAGGCTCTGGCTGCCTACAAGGCCGTTCCAAGCCATCCTAGAAGGCCGTTCAAGCCATCCTGTCACCCCGTCAATTTGTGGCATCGATCAATGTTGCTGCTGTATTTTGTGGATGAGGCTTATCGTCAGGTGAGCTCCCCCATCGTTTATATTGCGCGGATCTGCCAGACTAACCTCAGGGTGTCGAGACCTTCGTGTCTCAGGATAACAGTTCGGCTATTACGGAGCGCATTTCGGCCAGAACTTCATGGAACATGACTTTTCATGTTTGAGATCCCAGCCTCGGCATTCGCAGGTCAACCAGTGCAGTAGTGAATCTGATGCGCAGGTGCTGTACCAGCTCGTGCTTGCCAAAAGTCTGCACGCACTATGCGGGCATCACTGTTTAGCGCCGGTGAGCGTCTGTTCTCCACTGCCTGCTGCGCTCCCCTCGACATCCCTCCCGCACCCCTTGAGCGAGCTTCCCTCTCCGTCTCTCCCTCTCATGATGCCCTCGCTCGGCGCGTTCACACTCCCTGGGGAGCAGCGCCCCCTTCGTCTCCACGGCCTGGCCTCAGGTTCCACCGCTCCCGCCCGAGGTTCCCGGGAGAGGGACCTGAAGCACAACGTGTGGCAGAATCGCAACCGTTTGTCGCTGGCGCCAGCATGTCATGCCGTTTAGCCCGCTGGGCTCCCTAGGGCGCGCTTTTGTAGCAAAACGGTATCATTAGGACTCGAGGGCGCGCACCTGCGTGTGCTCCGCATGAAGGCATGAGCAGGCATTATTGTGCTTGCATGGGCTTCCTCTAGTAGGTGGTGGTGGTGGTGGTGGTGGTGGTGGTGGTGCGGTACACCAGGAGCCCTCTCTCGAAACGCAAGGTCGCTGGACCACTCGTGATGTGAGACCCGCAGCAGTGACTGGAAAAGCAATCCACAAACTCCAGGACAATGTCTGGGATGGAGGAGGCGGAGGAGGAGGAGGAGGAGGCCGAGGAGGCGGAGAATGCGGAGGAGGAGGAGGAGGAGAAGGAGGAAGTGGAGGAGGAGGAGGAGGAGGTGGAGGAGGAGGAGGAGGAGGCGGAGGCGGAGGAGGAGGAGGAGGAGGAGGAGGAGGAGGAGGAGGAGGGGGAGGAGGAGTAGGAGGAGCAGGAGCAGGAGCAGGAGCAGGAGCAGGTGCAGGAGCAGGCGCAGGAGCAGGAGCAGGAGCAGGTGCAGGGGGAGGAGGAGGAGTAGGAGGAGGAGGAGGAGGAGGAGGAGGAAGCGCACCACATTTTTTTTGGTAGACGGGCTTTCGACTCCTGCTCAGTTTCGCTACCTCGGCGTCCGTGTCGGTGCTTGGACCACTGTCTCGGCCTGGGGCGCTCTCCTCGAGATTCGAGGAGGTGCGTTTGCGTATCTCGGCGGATGCACTTCGGCACCCAGAGGGATCGGTTTTGGTATCTCAGGAAACCTGCGTCGGTGTGTTGAAGGTGTCGACTTGGGTGTTTCGCCACACGTGAATTTGTAGCTGGGCGGTCGTGGATCCGAACCTCGCGAACTCATTCCGCTCATGTGGTCCTTCTCAGGTTGTTTCTTATTCGTGTTTTTCTGGTCCGTTCTAATTTTCCACTCTTTTCAGCTTCCATTGCCAGTTTGGCATGATTCGAGTCCCATCTTGAGTTTGTCTTCCCGTCCGATGTTTCCCTCCTCCTGTTTTCGCCCCCCACTCTTTTTGCCTCTTGGGGATCTCTTTGGGGTCCTCCTGCTCCACTCTACTCGTCACGTGGCAGCGCCGCGGGGGCCGGAAAAATTACAATCCACCCTTTTCGCCACGTGGCAGCGCTTGGCGGGGACCGAACACATACTCCACTATTCATCACGCGGCAACGCCGCGGGGGCCAACAAAAATGCTTAACGCGCAACATGGCAACGCCTGGGGGAGCGAAGAAGCAGTATTGCATCCTCTCCTACCTCAAGGGAGGGAAAGCCACCCGGACCAGACAAATTGGCGTTTACTAAACGGCCTTGGGCGTTTCCTAAACAGCCCTGCCCTGTTCGATTCCTTCTTGGGGGCGCGTTTACTAAACGACTTCGCGTGTCGGGGTGGTTATCATGGGGGTGGATTTTTTGACCTCTACTACTTGTCACGTGACAGCGCCGCTGGGGGCCGGACAAAAGAAACTATTGCATTTTATTCGCCACGCGACAGCGTGGCGGGGGGCCGACAACAAATACTATGCCACTGCGCTCGCCACGTGGCATTGCGCTGGCCACGCGGCAATGTTCTGTTCTGGTCCTCACGTGGCAGCGCCGCGGGGGCAAGCAAAAAAATGGTTATGCTACGACGAGGGCGAGAACGGTGACGAGAATGATGATCACGATGACGACGACGATGACGACGGTGATGACGAGGGCCAGGGAGGCGAACAACCATTCTATCCTATCCTCCTCGTCCTTCTTCTTCCCCCCTCCCTCCTCCCTCCTCCATCCTCCCTCCTCCCTCCTTTCTCCCCCTACCTCCCCCTACCTCCCTCCTTCCCATCCCCTCCTGCCAACTCCTCCCTCCTCACTCCTCACTCCTCCTCCTCTCTCCTCCTCCTTCTCCTCCTCCTCCTCCTCCTTCCTTCCTTCCTTCCTTCCTTCCTTCCCTCCTCTCTACCTTCATCCCTTCTCCTCCCTCCTGTCCTCCTCACCCTCGCCCGCAATGTGCTGTAATGAGATGTACTGCAATTGCAATGCAAACGCAATGCTAATGCAATGCAGTGCAGTGCAATGCTACGCAACGGGATGCATTGCAATGCAATGCAATGCAATGCAACGCAACGCAATGCAATGCAGTGCACTGCAACGCGTCACGTGGCAGCGCCGTGGGGGCCGAACAAAAACATATTCCCGGACGACGATGAGGGCCAGGCAGGCGAACAAACATATTAGCCTATCCTCGTCTTCCTCGTCCTTCTCCCTCCCTCCTCCTCCCTCCTCCCTCCTCCCTCTCTCCTCACTGCAATGCAATGTACTTCTCCCTCCTCCCCCTCGCCTCCTCCCCCATCCTCCTTCCTCCCCCCTCTCCCTCCCCCCCTCTCCCCCCCCGCAGTTGATTGCAATGCAACGTGCTGCAAATACAATGCAAACGCAACCCAGTGCAATGTAATGCAACGACACAGGATGCAGTGCAACGCAACGCCATGCCATGCCATGCCATGCCATGCAATGCAATGCAACGCAACGCAACGCAACGCAACGCAACTCAATGCAAATTGCAACGCAATGCGATACAGTGTAATGCAACGCAAAGGAATGGAATGGAATGGAATGGAAATCCCATGCAATGCAATGCAATGCAACGCAATGCAATGCAACGCCGCACAGACCGCCCGCCCGCACGTCTGCACGCCCGCCCGCCCGCCCGCCCGCCCGCTCGCTCGCCCCTCCGCGCGCGCCTCCCATCCATTCCACAGCATGACGTCCCATTCTCCCATTCCATTCCACGCCATCCCATTCCATCCACTCCTTCCTTCCACTCCATCCACTCCTTCCTTCCACTCCGTTCCGTCCATTCCATTACATTCATTCCGTCACACCCCTCCCTTCCCCCGCCCCGCGGTCATTCGAAGTCAAAGAGATGTATTTGGGCCCAGCGGTGCGGGACATCCTCAAAGAACGTACCCGGAAGGGCTGGTTGGTTGGCTGGCTGGCTGGCTGGCTCCTTGGTCACGGGGTGAGCCGCCGTCCAGAGGCCAATTTTGGCACGCCCCTCACACGGATCGCGCCTTGGGGGCCAGAAGTGCTTGACTCGTAGTTGCAAGTCTTTCGTCGACCGTAAAACAAACATTTCTGTGACCCGCGACACCCTCTTGGGCCGTCGGTGAAGGTCTCTGTGGGGCGCGATCCGTGTGAGGGGTGTCCAGAAATGGGCGTGGAGACGCCTGCGAGTCTTCTGTCTGGGGCTGTACGTAGAACTTCCTGCGGGGCACGATCCATGTCAGGGGTGTGCTGACATAGGCGGGTGGCGGCATGCGAACCTTGTCTCTGGGACTGTTGGTGGAACTCGCTGTGGGGCACGATCCGTGTGAGGAGTGAGTCGAAGTACGCGGAGAGGCGCTGTGAGAACCTTCCCACCAGGGCCGCACGTGGAACTGATTCCTTGTGGGGCCCGATCCGTGTGAAGGGTGAGCCGGCATGGGCGGAGGGACGCCGTTCGAACTTTGTCCCCGGCACCGTTGGTGGACCGCCTGGGGTGGGGGCACGATCCGTGTGAGGTGCGTGCCGAAATTGGCGGGGGGACGCCATGTGAACCCTCCCTTCTCTTGGGCCGCAGGGCGCTCCCCGGTGCGGATTCGTGATCCATGTTTGCCGCTGCAGACGCCGCCTCCCTCATCTCTATTCCCTCCTCCCTGCAGCCGCGGCTGCGTACGCCTCAGAGTGGCAAGATCTGGCCATCTGGGTCCCGTGCTCGCGCGAATTTTTACGCAGCTTCGCCGCTGTAGACGCCTACTCCTCCCCTCCACCTCTCTCGTCTTATTCTCCCCTCCTCCCTCCCGCCGCCGAATTTGTTCTACAACTTCGCGGCTGCAGACGCCTGAGAGTTGAAAGTTCGGCCCTGCTTGATAAAAGAAAAGTTCGGAGATCCGCCCGAATTTCTTGTGTCGGCATTGGAGCCGCCCGCGCTAGGGGCGGAGCCAGAGGCACCGCCAGAGAGGTGGGGAGAGGGGTCCAGCGCCGACCCAAGACATCCACGTGGACCTCGAGAAAGACGTGCTTGCGTTTGGGCGAATGTGCTGCGAAGTACTACGACGACGCCGACTTCACATACACCTGTGCTGTGCATGCGGCGGCGGGGTGCTCCGATGCTCTCCTTCATTGTTCACCTGTGTTACCTCCTTGAAGCTATACAGCTTCGTGGCCCTTCCTTCACGTGAATCTCGTAACGTTGGAAGCCTGGGCCGTTGTCTGGGCCCCGAGGGCTCTCCTGGTCTCCGAAGCGCCCCAATGCCCCGAAGTGGCTCCCAAAGATGCA